AATAAATAATTATTATCTTTATAAAAAATTATATTATTAAACCAAATATAAATTACTTCGTTATTGTACATAAATTAAATTATAAAAAATTGGATTAAAAAATTACACAAAAAAATGAGGAATTTCAAATAGTTAATTTGATACTAATATCGATATATTTTGGTCAAATTTTTATGATATCGTCAAACATATATTTTATTCAAAAATAAAAACATCATCGCTTTCTCAAAATCATATAAAGTCATATTATAACATCGACTGAGATAAAGAATAAAATAAAATATTAAAAACACGATGTATCTCGTTGCATTGCGCGAGTACGCTTCTAGTATATATATGTGTGTGTGTGTGTGTGTGTGAGAGAGAGAGAGACACCAAAGAGGAATGTGGAGCTTTGTGCTGCTGAGATTGAGGCCAGTTTTGGTTGTTACGTTCTAATAAAAAAACATGATAACAATTAACAGATTTCATAGCTTATGAAATAAAATCTAAATAGTTTATAAATATTATTAAAAAATCACATTTTTTGATTATTTTGTCTCCGCTCATGTTAAAACGACGACGTCGCTTTGAAATGACTAACATCATAAATCCAATAACATCACTGCTGACTGGTCTACTCCTCGGAAGTGGCCTTCAGTTTCTCCTTCAGTTCACCATTCTGCACAACCCCAAACAAGTTACATGCTTTTCACTCCATAAAACAAAACAAAACAAAACAAAACATGATAATAAGCCTTAAATATGCAGAGAAGCTAACCTGATGCATATTCAGGATAATGTCTGATCCTCCGATGAATTCTCCATTGATGAATATCTGCGGAAATGTCGGCCACGTGCTGCACCCAAATACTATGTTATAGCTAATAAAAATCAACCTTTATGGAGCTGTCTTTATGGATTTCGGAAAAACGGTTGTTTATTTTTTTGTGCGGAATAAAGCATATGACCATTTTACCCCAGCTATGTAGTTGATCATAACCCATCAAGATCAACATACTTGCATACCCACAACGCCACAATCAAACGTAATGAAGAAAACCAAGTGCATCAATGGAGTTCCAAGAAAGAATGCAAATAAAATGAAGAAAAACACATAGTAATAATGATAAGGGCAAAATGCATCATAAATACAGCAAAGTTTGGTTTAGTTCCGATCTAGTGTAATGAATTAAGTTTTTTATCAATCGATGTAACAAAGTTCTAAAATTTCCTATTTTGTACCCATTTTGATCAGTAACCCATTGATATAACATTTGATGACATGGATACTTTGTTTACAAGTCTCGTGTAGCTCAGTTGGCGAAGGGGTGGGGTGACTTTGCCCAAATACAAGACAGGTCCTGGGATCGACCCCAAGCCCCCGCTAACCTTAGCCGTTCAGTGAGCCAAAAAATGCCCCCACATTGGTGTCCTTGGAGGCAGGGTTCCATGTAGGGCCGGTTGGAGTTGTCAGTTTTGACCAAATACTTTGTATAAGTGATGTTTACAAAAGGGTTATGGTGATGTAGACAATCCATGTCATCAAATTTTACAAAATTAGCACGTTATCGGTCAAAATGAGTAAAAAAAAGAAAGTTTTGAAACTTTGTTACATTAATGTGAAAGAAAAAAAAAAGAATTCAAGGCAAACCTCGTCACGTTTTTATGCATTTCCTTTGATAATAATAATATAAAGATGATTCCTAAATTTCCATGTTAGACTTAGGATACTAAGAGCATCTCCAACAGATTTTCCAATACATTTTCTATCTTGTTCCCTAAAATAGAAAAAACTCCAAACATAGAGAATACGCTAAAACTCTCTACTAAGGAGAGAGAAATACCCTTTTAAAATTTCTAACCAATGAGATTGATTTATTAAGTTTTTTTAAATGTAGTGGGATGATAAAGTTATATAATATTTTAATAATAAAGTTGATGTTGAAATTCTCTAAAATAGAGAATCTGTTGGAGTTAAATGTAATTTTTTTTAGAAAGAAATTATAGAGAATCTCTTGAAGATACTCTAAGGCCCAAACCGTCCGGTCACAATGCGGGTATGTTTTGTGGTATCCATAACAACAAGCTTTTATGTTAAGCAACCTAACTGCAAGAAAAGTGCTTGTTACCTGAAAGCTTTTACAGCATTCTTAAGCTCGGGATCTTCTAATATGTTTCTAGAATGTATAGGAACTCCTGCAATAAATCCATAGCAATACTTGAGAATCCAAATGTAAAAAACCAGCAGGAGAAAGGATAATGTAAATCCAAAGGAAGAGAACCAAATAAATCCCATATATGCTAAAATCAACAACATTTGGCAGTTAGGGTGCATTTGGTATCCAAACAGATTAGAATGGAACAGGACAAAACAACTGTTCAACTATTGATAAGACAAAAGTAGAGAGTACAGAACAAATAAAATGACCAATTTACCCCTAATGGGTTGTTATATATGTTTTGATTAATTTATATAATTTACTAAATTACAATAAATATTTTTTAAAACAAAATATATCATTAGAAACTTTTCTTCAAAATGATTAAAATGACACCAAAATAAAAAGTTAATGTACTTTCTAATCTTTATTCCATACCTTTTCTATATTATTTTTTATTATTAATATTTAATAAATTAACCAAAATATAAGCTGTATAAAATTAATTATTTTGAGGATAGTAAAACGAAAGTTAAAAAAGCATAAAATACGATAAATAAAACTTCAAGAATAAATAAAATGTGAGAGGAAGGTGAATTTGATGTTTTAGAAGAGAACTAGATTTCATTTTGAGATTATAGTGGCAAAATAGAGCTCTATTCCACCTTGTTCCATGGGGTGGAGGTGGAACACGCCTGTTCCACTCTGTTCCACATAAAAGTCCTACCAAACGTGGAACAGTCCTATTATGTTCTGTCTTGTCTGGTGTACCAAAGACATCCTTAACGACCTCCTACGTCTTCACATTTCCATAGTTACCCTTTTCTTTTCAAATATTGACTAATATATGTCCATGAAACCGTAAATATCACAATGGCCATGGACAAATTTAAATATGCTTCTAGAACTTGTACGAAGGATGTTTCATTGTTTGTTTCCATAAAAATGGTGTATTTATTCGGTTGTTCCTGTCCAATGCTTTCAAGTGTTTCCCTTTCAACTATCAACCCACATCCAATCTTGCTTGTGTGGGCATAAATAGTAATAGTGATGTTGGTGCATGGTTGTAACCTTTTATGCAATTTTAAGATACATTAGGTTAGATCCAAAAACGGATCCAAAGTACCCACGTGAAACCAAGACAATCTCACTGCCAAACAGCTGGGCTTTGGTTGGAAGGTAGTCCCCAATTTTGTACGACCAAAAATCTCCATTTGGTCCATGGAAGTGCAACAGGCCAAATTCTTGCAAGGTAGTAACCTTCCAGCTTTTTATGCAATACTGATATAGCTATCAAGGACGGACCTGCGAAAGCCTGAGCGGGGTCATGTACACCCGCTCAACCAATTTTTGCAAGTAGAGTTTTTTTGGAAATTAAAGGTGCATCCGCTAAACTTTAAGGGGTATACGAAGACAAACTTGTGGAAATATTGTGTGCGGATTATTAGGAATCAATCTCCTATAATCAGTGATTTTATTGTATATTCCCTCCATAGATAGAATGATTTGTTGTATAGTTTCCTTTTTCCTCTTTGGTAATTTATTTGATAGGATCTCCTTTTTTGTGTATATAAATGGGTGTATCATTCTCTTCAAATGAATGTAGAGAAAATTATTCCCAACTATCTTAACTACATGGTACCAAATCTTAGACTCCATTTTTGATCTTCCTAAACCAGCCTCTGTTTCGTGCCTTCATAATCACAATCGTCAATCAATTTTTCAGTCAATCGATTTCATCAAACCAATTTCATCCGGTCGATATCCTCTAATCGATTTCATCCAGTCGATTTTATCCGGTTAACTCATCAAATCGATTTCAGTTGATTTATCAAATCAATTTTGTCCCTCGTCACTCTACAAGTTTCAACAAGTCTAGGGTACTATTATTCAACTATCACTTTTTCAGAAGCCAACCTGTAGTTATTTTTATCTCTGCCTTATCGTCTTATTGCGAATGTCTGGTTCCGAGACTCAGACAACTCAAATGTATCTCCCCCGAACCCTCCTCAAATGATTCAAACCTCAACCGATTCAAGCCTTATCAATATCACGGGTCACAAACTCACGATTTAAGCCTTATCAATATCACGGGTCACAAACTCAACGGGCATAACTATCTTCACTGGTCCCAATCCATGATGTTTATAAGTGGATGTGGTCGAGATCAGTATCTTACTGCCACACTCACTCAACCAGCATCTTGGTGGCTTCCTTGGCTTATGTCGTGCCCATTTGGCTTAGATTCCTTGCATTGGCTTTCCCGCATGCCGTGCCCGTTCGGCTTGGATTCCTTGCATTAGCTTGCCCGCATGCCACCCAATACTAGTGATGTGGCCTTGGTGGCTTCCTTGGCTTTGCACGCATGTCGTGCCCGTTCGGCTTGGATTCCTTGCATTGGCTTGCCCGCATGCCACCCAATACTAGTGATGTGGCCTTGGTGGCTTCCTTGGCTTTCCACGCATGTCGTGCCCGTTTGGCTTGGATTCCTTGCATTGGCTTGCCCACTTGACTACTACTACCATCGGCTTGGCTTGCCCGCACATCGTGCCCGTTCATTGCCCGTGCCAGACGGTGTGCCTATTTCAAGAATTATGACTCCTGAAAAAATCAATGCTTGTTTCTGTCACTTTGCTTTTTGTCCATAAGGTATATATAGGGGAACCATGGGGTCTGCTGCTCCCCCATGCCCGTGGCTGGGAAGCTAGGGGCTATGGCATCAGAGGTTTTGGCGATCATAGTCACCACCAAAGCCAAGCCAAGCACGCCCGGTGCCTTGTGCCCGCACGACGCAATGACAACTAAAATAGGAGAGAACTTTCTTCTATACACCACTGCGAAAGAAATATGGGATGCTACACGAGGGACCTTCTCCAATAGTGAAAACATAGCTGAGTTGTTCACTTGTTCCATGTAGAGAGTATTCTTCAGGATTTACGTCAAGGAGAGAACTTTGTCACAATTAGACTTGTTTGAATCACATGAATGGAAGTGTTCTGACGATCAAACTTATTTCAAACCACTGTGGAAACTAAACGCATCTTCAAGTTTCTAATGGGTCTCGACAAGTCTCTTGATGAAGTTCATGGAAGACTCCTCGAGATGAAACCATTACCAAAATTACAGGAAGTCTTTTCTGAGGTACATCAAGAGGGAAGTTGTAACCGAATCATGATGGGACTAACCAATCCATCTTCTTCCCTAGATGTTTCAGCTCTCGCAGCAGCCAAGCATCCCGCTCCAAACTCTGTCGCTTTAGCTTCCTGAGGAATGTCTTCAAGCTTCAATGATAATCGATCAAGAAAAAGACGTCCTTGGTGTAATCATTGCAGAAGGCCTAGTCATCTGAAAGAAGGGTGCTAGAACTGCATGGAAAACCCTCAAATTGGAAACCAAGCCGAGACCGTGAGCTTGGGGGAAATACAGCAATTACTACAATCAGGTGCCATTTACAAAGGACCAATTGGCATTACTTCAATAGCTCATAAGCAAGGCTAATATCTCATCGTCTGCCAACAATGAAGGCAATCTTGCATTTCATGTTGGTGATAGTTCAACTCCCTTCATCACGGATGGTCGATTCTGGTGCTTCAAATCATATGACAGGTGACAGATCTCTTTTTTCAAGTTTCTTCCCTTGCAATAAGCAGCAAACTGTTCACATAGAGAATGGTAATCACACCGCTGTGGAAGGGGAAGGAACAATTCACCTCTCAAATACTCTTACTCTATACTATGTGCTATTTGTTCCTGATCTAGACTGTAATCTTATCTCCGTGAGCAAATTAACAGTGATCTCGTGTTGAAACTAAATGTTTTGCCAAATATTGTGTATTTCAGGACATGAACTCGGGGATGACGATTGGCAATGAACTTCATGAAGGTCTCTATCTTCTCAATGTAAACACTTCATTAACTCCTGATTCCGCAACTAGTAAGATTAGTGTCAGGCCTCCGCCAGAGAATGTTCGTAGCCTTAAGTCCGTCTTCCAATCGAATAAAGAGAGTGCAATTATATTAGGCATTCTCGTCTAGATCATCCTAATTTTACATATATGAGACATTTGTTTCGATCATTTTTCTTTCACATATATCATAACTATTTACATTGTGAAGTATGCCAACTCGCAAAGCTAATGCGTGGACATACCACAACAAAATGGTGTGGCTGAACGCAAAAACCTTCACATCCTCGAAAATGCATGAGCCTTACTCCTTCAAACCCATGTTCCCAAAAAAAATTGGGGCGATGTTGTTTTAACAGCCACGTATCTCATTAACCGAATGCCTTCTCGTGTCCTTACATTCAAATCTCCCTTGCAAATTTTTCATAAAATCAACCCAACCTCCAGACTTGTGTCTCAGATCCCCCTCAAAATTTTCGGTTGTGTTGCTTTCGTTCCTCACAATCGCAGCAAACTTGAACCTCACTCTGTTAAACGTGTTTTTCTTGGCTCCTCGGCGAATCAAAAAGGCTATATATGTTACTCACCAGTAACACAAAAATTCTATAACACTGTGGATATGACATTCTTTGAGCATACACCATTCTTTCCCAATTTTGCAAGTCAGGGGGAGAATAACACTCAGGAATCACAAAATTGGGAATGGACAACCATCTTTGAGTCGAGAACAAGTCATCCTTCTCATGTATCGTCTCCTCAAATTTAACCTGATTCTTTTGAAAGTAGTCGTCAGTCTGGAGTTCGTCCTAAACACCTTAACCTCCCTGATGAAGAAATAAAAGTTTACACAAGAGAAAAACCTCTGGAACCGGAATGAAGCCAACAAAGTCAAGAACTTTTCCCTAGTTCAGTCAATCCTGAAAAGTTACACAATGAGACATAATTGAGTTCGAAATCAGACTCCGAGGAGATAATAGCAAATGATACAAAGATGGATTTGCCCATTGCTCAAAGAAAAGGAATTCAATCATGTACTCAACACCCACTTCGATGCTATATATTATACTCAAACTTGTCACATAAATTTCGATCCTTTGTGACTTCCTTGGATAAAACTACGATTCCGAGTTCTGTTTATGAAGCTCTGAAGGTACCAGAATGGTGAAAAGCGATGAGCACAATGCTCTTGAAAAGAATGACACATGGCTCCTAACATCTTTGCCACCCGGTAAGAAAACCGTGGGATGTAAATGGATTTTTCCAATAAAACATAATGCAGATAGAAGCATAGATATATACAAGGCTCGTCTAGTGGCAAAAAGGGTTCACTCAATCTTATGGAATTGATTACCAAGAAATATTTGCCCTGATAGCCAAACTTAATACTGTTTGTCTTCTATTGTCTATTGTTGTCAACCAAGACTGACATTATTCCAGCTCGACGTAAAAAATGTTCTCTTGAATGGAAGCCTATGTGAGGAAGTGTATATGGATGTATCGGCCGATTTTGAAACGAAAAAAAACAAAAGGAAAAGTGTGCAAGTTGAGGAAGGCATTATATGGGCTCAAACAATCTCCGAGAGCATGGTTCGACAGGTCCTCTAAAGGGCACGAATGAGATGATTATTCACAGTCTCAAGCAGATCAACCGTTGTTCATCTAACACTTCCCAGATGGGAAAATTACTGTGCTAATTGTCTATGTTAATGACATTGTCCTTACGGGAAATCACGAAGAAGAAATGAGATGACTGAAGATGCTTTTATCCAAAGAATTTCAAATCAAAGACCTTAGGCATCTGAGGTACTTTCTGGTAATGGAAGTAGCCAGGTCGAAAGAGGGGGTTTCTGTCTCTCAACGCAAGTACGTCCTGGATCTCCTACATGAAACTGGCATGAGTGGTTGCAAGCCAGTTGAAACTCCTATGGACCCTAATACAAAACCGATATCTCGGACTGAAGAGGAAGCAACTGATAAGGGGCGATATGAATGCTTGGTAGGAAAGTTAATATATTTGACACACACTCGTCCTGATATAGGTTTTTCGGTCAGGATTGTTTGTTAGTTTTTAAGCAATCCCTCAATTAGGGGTGTAAATGATACGAGACAACTCGCGAGCTATTCGAGATCGACTCGGTCAACACTCGACTCGAATAGGCTCGGCTCGAACTCGACTAGACATATTAAAGAGTCGAGTCGAGCTACACAATACTCGACTCGAAAAGCTAGTGAGATACTCGATTTTTTATATATAATTAGTTTTAAAAATATAATCAATTTTATAATATAGTATGTATAATATAATGTAATAAAAATGTCTATATTTTTAGATATTTGAACAATGTTGTGCATCTTTAATTATAAAACTATATCAATAATTTTTTTTATTAAAATCATAATTAAAAAAGAGAAAAAAAACTATAGAAGTGTTGGTGAAGTTGTCCCACATTGGAAGAGAGATGGTAAAAGAAGGATGGAGAGTTGTTATAAAAAGAGAGGGATGTGAATGGAGTTTGTAACATTGTCTTTTTGATGATGAAGTTTGAGGTATATCCCTTTAGTTTTTTAAAATTTAAAAGAACACCTTTAAGTTTTATAATTTGTAAGAGAAGACTTTATAATTTCATAAATCTCGACGGGTAAGCTTGATTAGAGTTCGAGTTCGAGTTCGAGTTCGAGCTTGATTCGAGTAGGAGTTTGAGCTTGGTTCGAGCTTCAAACGAGTTCGAGCTCGAGAGTAAAAAATTGCAATCGGGTTCAAGTCGAGTTTAGTTTTTAACTTCTCTCGAGTTTTCGAGTTCGAGCTTGAGAAATGGCTATCGAGTTCGAGTCGAGTATACAGATACTCGAGCTCGACTCGCATCATTTACACCCCTACCCTCAATGGACCATATGAAGGCTGTGATTCGAATTCTTAGGTACCTGAAAAAGGATCCTGGAAAGGGATTATTGTACAAGAAAACACTTAATCGGTCTCTTGAAGTTTATACAGATGCGGACTCGGGTGGATCCCCTATTAACGGAAGATCTACATCCGGTTATTGTTCATTTGTTTGGGGAAACTTGGTGACATGGAGAAGTAAAAAACAACATGTTCTATCTCGAAGTAGTGTCAAGTCCGAGTTTCGAACTTTAGCTCACGGTATATGAGAAGGAATTTGGCTAAATCGACTGATACTAGAGCTTGAGGGTGGAATTTTTGACCTATCAAGATGATGCGTAACAACCAATCAGAGATGGCTATGGTTAAAAAACCAGTCCATCATATGACGGAATGAAACATGTGGAAATTGACAGGCACTTCATATGTGAGAAAATAAAAGAAAACATTATTTCTCTCAACCATGTTCCCTCTTGGCAGCAAGCAACAAACATTTTAACCATGGCCCTGTTTAGACCTCACCTCATTGAACTAAGCTCTATGCTTGGTCTAACAGACATATTCCGACCAGGTTGAGGGGGAGTGTAGGAAAACAAACCGGTGGAAATATTGTATGCTGATTATTAGGAATCAATCTCCTATAATCAGTGATTTTATTGTAGATAGAGTGATTTGTTGTATAGTTTCCTTTCTCCTCTTCGGTAATTTATTTGGTAGGATCTCTTTTTTTGTGTATATAAATGGGTGTATCATTCTCTTCAAATAAATATAGAGAAAATTATTCCCAACTATCTTTGCTACAAGGGGTGTTCTAGGATATTAGAAAATAGAGTAAATTACAAACTTGGTCCTGTGGTTTGTAATACTTTTGGTCCCTACAATTTCAAAATTACAAGATCACCATTGTGGTATTCAAAAACAACCGGATTTGGTCCTCTCTAATGGCCGTTAGAAGCACACGTTAAGTCAGGGGTATTTTAGACTTTTCCAGTTTTTGTTTATTTTTGCTTTAAAAATTAGATGCTAATTAATGTGTATATATGTATATATATATATATATATATATATATATATATATGTATTATGTGTTGAGTGTCCTACCGACACCAAAAACACAAATTGGAGCATCTCCTCCCAAAGATACAACTTACCTGCAAACCAACCCTCCCCTCACCGCCCAATCACCATCTTCGACAAACCAACCCCTTCCCCCCACCGCCAGTCACCATATTCGACAAACCAACACCTCCCCCACCGCCTATCACCAGTTCTGACGAACAACCTCTCCCCTACCTCCTTTTTTGTTGGGTTTCAAATAGAACCAGCACCATCCTTTGGATTTGGATTTGATTTCATGGCTTATGTTGAGGTTTGGTTTGAATTTAGTTTTGGATCTTGGATACGGTTGCAGAGAAAGATCGAAGGAATGCTGGAACAACTTGACCTGGTGCAATTAGACCTGCACAACCTGCTGCAATTAGAGGGAAGAAGGAAGAGGACGCCGACGGTGCTTATAGCAGGAGAGGGAAGAGGCGAGGAGATGGATGGTGGAGATGGTCGTCAAATGGTGGTGGAGATGGTGGAGATGGCCATCGAGTGACCACCCCTTCTACCCTCACCGGCGTTACCCCGTCTCCAAAACTTCTCACCGACCTAAACCCTTCTACCCTCATCTAGGTTCTGATCTGTTCATAGACATGGATTGCTTTTCCGTCGATGTTCTGGATTCACCATTGTTGTAACAGAAGCTTGGATTCTGAAAATGGGTTTTGGTTCAGAATATGAATAGAGCTTGATTTTGGGGTTTGCATTTACCTAGGGTTTGATTTTCGTGTTTGTATATGCATTTGGGTTTTGTTTTGATGTTGTTTGGCCAGAAAAGATGGTCGAAGGATTGCCGGAAAGTTCAAAGCATTGCCGGAAAGGAGTGTAAGTTTTTGGGGAAGGAGGTGGACACATGTCACTGTTTTAATGGATGGATCTAAAGAGATGTTTTAGTTCTAATAGAAAATAAAATAAAATTTTAAAAAGACGAAAACACCCCTCATCAAATGGGATTCTTCTAACGGCTATTAGAGTCGGAGACCAAATCCAGTCGTTTTTGCATACCACAATGGTGATCATGTAATTTCTAAATTGTAGGGACCAAAACTGCTACAAACAACAAACCACACGGACCAAATTTGTAGTTTACTCTAGAAAATACAATGGACATCAACCAAAAAGCCGAAAAAGTCTCTTGAAAGCAACCAAAAACTAAAAAAAAACCTTGAAATGGTGGAATTAGGCTAAAAAAGCATTGAACTACTTTGCGGTCCTTTAATCCACCTTAAAGGTGCACCTGCTCAACAAACCTCCTAGGTCGCCACAGATAGCTATGTTTCTCCACATCTAGGAATAATAATCTAAAGTAAGGTAGACTATCAAGCATGAGATAGAGGACTATCTATATTCTATGCAGATCACTTAATTAGAAAATCATTTAAGTTAATAAAGAAAAATCATTAGAAATAACAATTTTATGTTGAAAATATCTTCAAACAAGAAGTGTTGATTTGAGTACTTACGATATTCACTCAACACTCTGACAGCTAATGAGCTGAATCCACACCGTGGTTGCTCTGGATCCCCTTTCATGTAAATCATCACATGGTTATCCTTGACATCCTAAACATTGCAATTAACAGATGTAGTAATTACCTCGAAACAGAACATATAAAATACAAAGAGGTTCAGGATACACATATCAATAAGCCCTACCTGCTCAACGATATCCTTTAGAGTAATTCCAGAATTCTCAATCTTATTTGTGGGCTTAAAATCATCATGTGTATCAGGATCATTGGGCACACTAGTCGAAAATTGCATTCCGTGCCGCAAGAACGGTCCAGAGGCCTAACAAGTTGCATAGAATTTATGGAAGAACATACAAAATTGGTATCAAGCATCAATACATTCGAATAAAAGCAATCCCTTTAGCGACTGACTAATTAACTCTTAAGAATGGTAAAGAATGAAATATGCAATTAGATAACAAAAGACTGCATCAAGTGAACGATATTTGGCCTTCCAGATGCAGCGTCCCTATTATCCAACTATTAGTGAGCTGAAGCATGGTGGGTTGGCTAAAAGTAAATTTACATTTGGTTCAAACTCTCTCGATTGGATCCCTTCAGCACCGATAAGAAGAATTTTCGCTCTGACAAATATGTCTTATAGAAACAAATTTGCAGATAAAACTGAAAACATCTATGCCAATTTTGAATCTGGTAATAACTAGGTTTGCTTGGATTAGCCAACTCAGGAGTGGACTTCTTTAAACGTATTTGCTCTTCCAGATGCAGTGTCCTATTATCAAATTGTGAGTGAGCTGAAGCATGGAGATCAAACTAACTACATTCAACTTCTAAAAAATTTATCATATCAAAATAGTGGATGCATAGAATTAAGTTTTAGAGAAGGATGACCCGTTACCCTGAAGTTGATCATCCAATTAAGTGACATGTTAAAACAGATTTCCATTCCTGCAAATCATGATCAAGCTCCTTATACTTAAGCTATGCTGCTAATAATGGTGCAATAGAGGTTTGCTGTCTTGGAAGGAATTGTGGCCGGTCCTAATGGCGGTACTGCGAATTGCGGTGTGATTTACCGCCAAATGGCCGTTTTTTTGCACAAAACAGCTCCGCATAACCACCATTTGTGGTTGGGCTTTTTTATATTGTCTAACAAGCTTATATTGGACCTATTTAAATGGTTTGGCCTTTTATTTTGCACTTGTTTTTTAATGATTTAAGTCATTCAATCCATCTTGTTATCTTTACTGATATTATAAGATTTAAATTTACAACATCATCAAGCATTCAACCAGGTTTCCTAAATTCTTCCATCATTCTAATAAGTCGATTAGTGAATTTCTTTTTTTGGGACTATTAGTCTATTAGCGAATTTCTTTTTCATATTAATTACACATGATATGTTAAGCTATTTATATTTTATGTATATAATTCTAAATATTTATATGAACCGCTATATCGCCGCTTTACCACCGTGATAACCGCTATTTTAAATTACAATTAAAAAAAAAGCTCCTATAGCCTGCTTAGGACAGCCAAAGCAAAATTTCAATGTCAATATTTCACATTTTACCCGTTTTTAGGTTGAAGAACAACAATCCAGAACAGTGTTGTAGATATACCACCTACTTGAGTAATCCAAATGTAAAACGACAAATTATTGAACCTCTATCTTCCTAGCCATATCTAAAGAAATCTACTCCTCAGTTGGCTAATTCAAGCAAACCTAGATATCACCAGATTCAAAATGACATATATCTTTCGGCTTTTAACTGCAAAAATGCTTCTACAATAATTGTATTTTTAGCAATCAATTGTTGCCAGAGCCAAACTCCTTCTTATTAGTTCTGAAGCGAGATTCAAACAGAAAGAAGAGTTCTAGCAAATGGTGAAACCTTGAAACGAACAGAACTTATAGCCCTAACTTGAAACTATAAACCAAAAAAAGGAAGAAGATGAAGTTCAACGATACACTATTACAACATACCGATGCAGCTATACGAGTAGATTCAATTGACCTAAATCCTTTGAATAGCATGTTCGATAACGCTCTTGCCATCGTATTAGACAAACGATTCTGCACCAAATCGACAAACAAGATGAACTGATTAATTACTTCAAAGGAGGTGGCATACAACATTTACGAACACAAATTAATCAACGGTAATCATTTACAATGTAGTAAAAATAGATTTAAAAAGATATTTTAGACAAATCTTATCAATGTATGAAGGATTCACGGTCCACTGATGATGATCTTTTTCTCTTTCTCTTTCCGATTCTCTGCTCTTCACGACTGTGGAGCAACCGGAAAAGCAAGAGGAGAATTATAAAAAACAGACAGGCCCTAACATACTTCCTGTTTGTTTTTTCTTAGAAACTCCTTAAAACCTCTCAAGTCCTCATCGGTCAGACCTTTTTGTTTTCAGACGGTTTGATTTTTTTTCCCTCTCAAATATTAAGTGATTAGGGCCTGTTTGTTTTCTATAATTCTCCTCTTAATTACCTCTTAAATACCTCTTATCGTCATCTGAATTTTAAGTGAGAAATCTAACTCTGATCAATTTCAGAAGCCGCCTCCATCTCGCTCTCAGCTCTCGATTTCAACAGCTCACGATTTCAAGCTCTCGATCTCTCGACTGCCTCTCAGTCCAAGCATCTCTTGATCTGCCTCTCGATCTCTCAAGAAAGGCAATGGGTCTTCTTCTGCCTCTAGATCTCTCTGAGAACCCACATCTCTTCTTCCCTCTTGACCATATTTACATCATCTTATTTCAAGGTATCTAATCAATTTGTTGGTCATAAGTTCAAAATCATGAGTTAATGGTTGTGTTCAACTCCAACTTTTTTTCTCGATCTCTTCTTCTGCCTCTCGATCTCCCAAAAAAGGTAAAAGAATTAATGGTTATCTGTTGGGTTATTTTGGTTAGATTTATGGCTTTTGCTACACAGTGTGATGCTGGATTTATGGTTCTGTGTTGGATTATTTTGGTTAGATTAATGGTTCTGTGCTGTTAAGACCAATTCAATTTGAATTTGGTCTTTTTTACCAATGACCCTTCCAACAGGCTTCTTCAAAGCAAAAATCATGTAATGCAATTCTATATATTTACCACATTTTTGGTGTTTACTGATTGAGAACTTCACTGAAGAGCCACATCTAAAAAGGGATTTTTTGTTGGTATTTGGTAAAGCCCAATGGGATAAGTCAGTCTCGTAGTTGGTATTTGACAAAGTTCTTGTTAGGAAATGATGAGCCATCTCTTATACTGATCCACATAACAGTTGTATGTTGTTCTTTTGTCGATTAGATTTTTGTATCCTTCATCATTTATTGTAAAATCAGGCATTTTTCATAAGTTGCGGTCGCCTTCTTTTGTTTGAGTATAGCTTTCTGTTATGTAGACATGGGCTGCTTCGTATGACCAGCACTGTTTTTAGTAAAATTGGCATGAATGAGTTATAGATGTGGTCATAGTCGTGGATTCAGATTTTGGAACTCTAGAAGCAATTACCATCACCAAACACATCAAGGATGAACAATAATAATTAACAAAAACTCAGTTCAAATTATCAATTATATACAAATTAGTAGGAAAAAAAGATATTCAAAACCAAACCCAGTAACCAAATCTCAAGTAAAAACCGAAGTTGAACACAGAATCTCATCAAGCTATTTCGATCTAAAGGGTACTTGATGCTAATATGAATTATAGGATTAACCTGTCCCTTTGGGATACATGTCAAGGCACGTAGGTAATGGCTAAACTGACAACAATAACTTAATTGCATCAACATACATAACTAATTGTAAATCAAGGTAATGGCTAAACTAACATCAACAATATATCGACATGAGCAAAAGATATCAGGTCAATATTACAAAATGAAGCAGCCAACCACATCCCCCTCCCTCACCACACCACACCACCCCCTTCTTTCTGTGTAAAAAATGACAAAAAGCTTCAGAAGAGCAAGCTTATAAACCTTCTGCAGCTGAAGCTAGATGAAGACCTGGGGTTTGTCTCTATTGTTCAAATACATTTGTTTAGCTTTGCTATAGCTATAATAAAAGGATAAGATCATGTCAAGAGGTCAAATATGCATATAAGCAGCCCCACTAAAGTCTGATGCATGATAGATGTGAAATCTAAGATACCCTCCAATTCAAAGTAAGAGTAAAAGACATCTCTTTCCTGCCTTTTTGTAGGGTTATCTATTTATGCAAACGTTATAGGTCCCAAAATCATAAAATTCCCATCAATCCCACTAGATCCTCAAGGTATATAACTACATGCTATAAATCAAGTAGAATTCTGCTTTGATTTAACCAGATAGAAAAGGAGTCCATTAAATTCCCATCAATCCCACTGGTAAGTTAATACATACAACATTTTTGATCCATGAACTCCAACATCTCTCAAATATTCCATATTTGGGACCATATTTGATTGGAAATCCCAATCAAAAACCCAAGCACACCTCTTGATTGCAATTAGAGTTCTATCATTCGATTGAAGCAAATCTTTGAGTAACTTAAAGGTTGGTTCCAAATGGTTCTTCAAGCTTCTACCTAAAGACGTTGCTCTTGCAGTCAATAACTTAACAATTTCAGAATCTGAATGTCCTATAGAACTTAAGAATTCAAACTTGGGCAAGAGATTTGTTTGGGGATTACAAGTGAGCGCCATTGGTAACTTTCGAACTAAATGATAAATGTGGGGTTCTGTGAATCCTTGATTCTTGAAAATTTTGACTGAATCTGGGTTTGATGCGGCTGGTGATGAAGATAATGACCGAGCAAGCAGTCTATAAATCAATGTTGTTTTTAAGACAGAAATCGTTAAGTTTCTGCTGACGAGATTGAACATTGTAAGTAGAAATTGTAATCACTGACCTGTGGACTGAAAGGAGGACGTATATGCGATTAAAGCTTCTGAAACGAGTTTTCTTTGTAACTCGGCTTTAACTTGAAGGAAGAACCCTAAAAACAAAACACTGATATATGAACACTCCCAATCTAGACGAACAAACAGGGACGAACCACAGGGATCGAACCTTGATCAAAACAGAAATCAAGAAGGAGATGGGCATACCATGGAGATCGAGAGTGTGGATCGATTTGGGTCGTGATCAATTTGAAGATCGAACGTCCTGCAAGATCGATTTGGAGGACTGGATCTGAAGGCGACGACGATTGGAGAGCAGAAAGGGAACGATTAAGAGGATTTAAGTGATTAGGTTATCACTTTTTTGTTCAGAGGACGGTAAGACCTTTTCAGCCCCTATCTTAAAAAAACAAACGGTCTGAAAACAAAAATGTCTGACCAATTCAGACTTAAGAGGTATTAAGGGGGGGTTTTCAAAAAACAAACAAATCCTAAGACTTCAGCACCTCTTAAAAATCAAACAACACCTAATGAACTTCAAAACTAATAAGAACTACTTTCTTTGCACATAAATGAATAATTGCATAAGTCTGCTCTTACAACGATGGCATTATACCTGTCGTTTGGTTGCACACACTTCATTGCTAATCATGATGCGTGTTCTCAATTATCTTTGGTTTTGCAAGTCAGTAGGAAACATCCTCTCTAACCCTTGATGTACATCCTACCCTCACCAAACCCTACCTCTATGTGGGATTATTGGGTTTCTTTTGCTTGGTTATTTGCTCTTGCAACGAGTATTTACTTTTGTGACATCTACTGTACACTAATCTTAGTTTTTTTCGATACTAGTAGTTATCATAAACGCGCTATGAGTTTCTTCTTACTTTTAATTTTGCTTTACGAACCATGTTTCTTTTCAGAATCAGCCTCTGAAACAAACTCCTTTAATAAATAAAACCCTAGAGTGCAGAGAAAGTTATATGGAAATGAATAAAACCCTAATTAGTCCAATGAACACCGGTAAGAGTAACTCATATTTCAACAGATTCAACTCTAGAAACAACATAATCCATCACCATAATCGAGGAGAAAATAGTTCGTTTCTGGATGGATAGTTCTAACAGCTATCCATAAGTTCAATCAAATAGAATCATATCCATATAAAATCTAGATCTTCACAAAAACATAAACCCAAAGACGAAAACTTCGCTCAATAATCACATAAATTAGAGAACACCCAGAAAGCAAAAACCGAATACAACCGATGAATTATATAACAGAAAGGTCGAAATCAAAAAATTTACGATTTAACTTAAATTTGATTTAGGGTATTTACCTGGGAGTTCGATGAAAAGGGTTTTAGGAGAAATACAACCAACGCAGTCGCCGATTTGCCCCTGTTGCTTCCTCCCCACACGAGTATACGTCTTGATATTTTAGATCGCAATGAAATGCATATAAATATTGTAGAAATAGGTGACATGGAACTGCTTATCAACAAGCTTTCATAGCTCAGTTGGTTAGAGCACCCGTTTAGTAAGCGGGAGGTCTTGAGTTCGACTCTCAATGAAAGCAAATTTTTAGTTGTTAAAACTGTAAGCTTTTTTTGTAATTTTTGTTTACTTCAAAGTTGCATCTAGGCCCCTTATGTTTGTCATTATGTACATTAATGATGAATCTAGTAAATGCTATCCCTGGAAACCTTTTAGCAAAATCACGATCAAGAAGCAAAGTCTCCCTATCAACATTGAAGGCTTCGTAGCTATCTAGATCGGAGGTCAAGACTGTGGCCCGGCGGAAAAACAGTCGTTCTCTGACCCCCTCAGTCTTTCTATCTGGAGTGAGTCAGGCGGCTAGCCTATTAGGCGCTGTGTAAGAGCTCTATGCTATCTATGGGATATTGAATGAAAGTCAGAACAGTGAGGCCTAGAAGTCTGCTAAACGCGAAGACGCTTCTTTGGTGTTTCTTCCGGCGGGTGAAAATTTTCTTTTTTCCTTGATTGAAAGACTAAGACCGATGAGTCGAGGGTATGGGGTTACGAGCCCAAGGACATGGAACCTTAAAGTAAAGGAAGCTTCACTTTGAAGACTGGATCTAGCCGAAGCTCTTCGTCACTTTGTGAATGACCCAAAATTAATTTGCACTTAAACCTTTTATGTTTCTAACCATGTCCAATAGTGACCCCAAAACAACGAAAGTGGTATTAGAAGGTAATGATTACCTTGGAGTTCGATTTCCATCTCTGTGTCTTCGATTTTCAGTTCGAGACTTTCATTCTGTTTTTCACCTCAATTTGTAGTAATTTTTATGGGTGAAAGAATCTTAGATGGATTGAAGATCTTACAGACTTAAGGTGCCTTCATTAGGATTAGATTGTTGACGGTTTTTTCATCACCAAACAAGAGCAATACAAAGCAGTGGGAAATAATCGAGTTAGCTCACCCTCATGGAATGGTAACCTTTTGTCTTGGCCATCGTAGCGTTCCTTGAAAGCCAGGATCAAACTCTTATTTTGACCATGATTGGCCGTACACTGGTAGAAATCGTTGAACCGGAAAAGAGATATCATTGAGTGTCATAGGAGACCATTTGTTGTCTATAAAACGATGTTATAAACACACCCATTTTCATACCTCGATATATTGATTCTCATTTTTATTTTCATTACTTAAAATGAGTCAACGCTCCTTTAGTTTGTTGGATAAGGAGAATTTAAATTATTTGAAATTACTTTTTAATATAATTAAGTAGGATTTATATGAGAGATCGACTGTTACTAGCGGTTAAACAGTTAAAACATAATTGTATGGCAGTTAGAACAGTTAATGGATAAGGTTGAAAGGCAATCACAACTGAATCAGAGGTAACATCTAGAATTTTGGTTTCAAAGACCAAAGTCTAATTGCACTAAACCTAAGTCTGGTTGCATTAGACCAAAGTCTGGTTGTTATTAACTCTGATCCAGACTTAAAATTTTCAACGGTCGTAACTTTGATCAAAACGACCAGAGATATGATTACACTACCTCAAATATGTACTTAGTGAAATTTCACCAAGTTGGAGAGCAATTTCAAGTACGTTTCCAACGTCCTGAAATTAGTCCAGATCATCCCGGACCACCATTAAGGAGCTCTGCACCTTAGAACCTCGCAAGGGGGGGGGGGACCTCCTTGACCTCGCCTTCTGGCGATTAGGCATGGGAATGGCTTTGGACCCGTTGGGGAACCTCACTAGGGGGGCCGACCATTTCCTTTCAACATGAAATACAAATTTACATATTGGTTTTAATATATACAAAATACTTCACTCAAAAGTAGCTACAAACTTTTTCTATTCACACTAAATACATAACTTGTAAACATAACAAATTTTCAAGTACATGTAATATAACAGCTTCCAAAAGTCCACATATGTAAAACAATCATAATATCTTCATATCTTTCCATTTCCCTTACTCTCTATATGTGTTCGACCTGTAATGCACATTTTTTTTAAATAAAATGAGGGTTAGACCATGAGGTCTAGTGAGAAATCCCTTTTGATTGTTATTACAGGGTGAAAATCACCAAAACACTTTTAGAAATCTCATATTTGTATTGATAACAAATAAACAGTGTTTTTATCAAAACAAATCTCTTTGTCACATTTTATAGATGAGACAACCTTATTTTTATCGATCAACCCATGAAGTGTCAAAGTCATTGCATTAAGCATAAAAGATACCAATTTATCGCATCTCATCAATGTGATCACCTTTTTATTGCATCATATCAATCTTATATGATGCGATATAACATTTTCTCGCATCATAAGGACGCAATTATTTCATTTTGTAGCATCATACTTATGCGATACATACAACTTATCGCATCACAAGGATGCGATAACCCAATATTGTCACATCTCAAGGATGCGATAACAATACTCTTCGCATCACAAGGATGCGACAAATACCTTTTTCACATCACAAGGATGCGATAACATCATCTCATTGCATCATACAGATGCGATAAATCAAACTCATCGCATCATGAAGATGCAATAACAGTTCCACATGATCAAAATCCTATTTTTACATACTGACGATTTTACCACCCTTATTCCAGTATACGTCTCTCCTGATTATGTCACCCTTATCCCAAAATACGGCTCTCCTGATTATGTCACTCTTATTCTAACAAGTTGATAATCACATGTCAAAACACAAATTTATGCTAAAAATAACATATAACATATTAAAAACCCATGTATGAAACCCTACAGTTTCTTCACAAAAAACATGTTAAATAATGTTTATGAAAACAAAACTCACCTTGAATCACAATTAGTCGAAGGCTTTAAAACAACAATGAAAAACAGATGAAATCACGAAAGCAGATTCTTCTTCTTCTTCTTCGGTTTCTGATTGCTCGAACCCAGTAGCTAAAAATGGTTTCACCAACTTTTCTTCTCACTCGACTCTTCTAAACAGCTTCTCATGAGGTAAAATAAACATCTCCTACATATACTCTTATAAAAATAAGAGGCGGTGATGGTTTATAGCTTTTAAACCAACTTTTAAAAAAGACACCCTCAACTTTCAAACTATTTCAAAAATAACTCCAAACTTTTTTCACAAGTAAAAACCAAGTTATCACACCACGCGGGTAGGAGCGTACTCTTGTTCTATGGCTTCGGCTTATATGCTTGTAACCCATATAATTTATGAAAACTAAATTTTTTCATGTAACAATTCATCTTTTAACCATTTATCTTCGATTTTTATCAAAAAAATCACTACCTCTACAAAAGACTCTTGTTCCACAGCTTGCATAGGTGGTATTTTCCTAAAATAACCAAGTGTCACTCCCACTTTTCAAAACAATATTTTTCACATGTGACGGGTTGAAAGCAACTTGGAAAACATTTTTTTTAATTAACCTGGATATCCAATCCGTTATGCGAGCCGACTAATCCCAGGGTGACCACCTTCGCAAGATAAAATACCATCTTTGCAAGTTACGGAAAAGATACTTGTGGGAATAGTAATTTTTTTGATGAGAGTAAGAGAGGAATAATTAGGAGATGAATTGCTCCGTAAAAAAATACTACTTCTGTTAATTTTCTATAATTTGGACGCTAACCCCTTAATTACTTTTTTTTTTCATTTTCGTCTTAAAATAATCTTTTTCATATAATAACTTTAAGTATAACTTTATTAAATTACTGCTTTAGACGACTTCTTCCAAAGAAATCCGTCTCTCATCTTCTTCAAGCCTCTTCGTCTCCACCATCACGGTACCGAATTCTTCCTATGATTTTGATTTCTTCTTATGGTTTGTTCTTTTTATGATTCTCCCTGTGGTTTGTTCTTCTAGTCTGTGGTTTCTCTCCATGGTTTTCGATTTACTAGTTCTTATTAGATAGGTTTTCGATCAAATATGTTTTCTAAATCTCCTATGGTTTTTGGTTTTTCCTTGTTTGGTAGGGTGTGATTTCTATTGAATCTTTTTTTGGTTTTCAGAGGTTCCAATTTTGGTCTCAAATTGACAGTGATGGAAATCGATGGGTTGGTATCAACATTTGGTCTCAAGTCAAACTGGTTTTGTCAAGTAACAAGATCGGTGGAAGTCGATGGTTCTAGTTCCATCCGGAGGTTTTTGATCAGAATGGGTATTGTTAATAAAAGAATAGGGTGTAGAATATTGGGCAACTTCACAAGGTTTCTTTTCAAGTATTTCCTCTTTCCTTTCAGATAATCAAAAGCTTCACAAAGTTTCCTCTCAGATAATCAAAACATTTAAATTGATCTCTTTTTATATTAATAGCCATTTATTCAACATTTTTATCAAATAGTTATTTTAATTTAGACAAAAATATAGACTGAGGGTACAATGGTCATTTCTAACATTCAGACTGTTTATTTAGCACCACAATCGAACAACAACTTCTTATCTGTTATCATACAAACAAGTTATCAATAGAAACAACTTTATTCATACATGTCTTAATAGAAAAAGAATCGAGCAACCCCTTAGATGATGAAAATGGTGTTGATTATGCTTGATTTAAGATTAATACAAAATTATGTGCCATTGTTGATACCTTTCTTCTCGAAGCAACATAAAAAAAACAATGGAAGTAATGTAGTAGCAGATCGTGAAGTTAGTTCCGTTCATTGAACAATGTCGTTCGACGATTAAAAAACACGGATCGGGTACGACCGTGCCACATTCAATCCTCAAACCAGTAAAACTCGTTGGCTGCCATATTTTGACGGGCACCAACGTAGATATACATCTACGGGTAATGAGTCACAAAAATGCATACAGTTTCTTGAATGTATCACAATGGTAATACATCACAGTGGTAGCGTTCAAAGTGTCCATATAGTTTCTTGAGTGTATAATGGTAA